GCAATCGAAAAGTCGTATTCTATTATTATTTAATCTATTTTCTTTCTATGTGACTTCACCGAAAGAACCAAAGAGTAACATGAATCATACAATTGTAGCCTTGCTGCTGTACGAAAGAAGAAAAATGCCTGCGGCAGTTATGCCTAAGGGTTACTCAGGCTAAACACAAACGACGGTACGACTACCGCATTTGATTCGCACGTGAAAGAAAGTGGTTTATTTCTGAGCTCTAAAGGCAGACGGTATGAGCAACACTCTTTCGAGACCCACTCGCCCAACAATCTGTGAACCCCACTTGACATAATTGGAGGTCGCTTAATACAATATTGTGAGAAAAAACAAAAAACTCCCCATGTGAGTACCTGGCTGTGAATTGGGTATAATATGACTCAAACTCGGCACCGCAAAGCGAGTCTATATAACCTAAATGCAACTCCTATTCTTTGATCTAGAAACTGGATACGGTATTGGAACCAGAAGGCACTGTGTATACTTATATATCATACTGGTCGGAACCTCTGGTTACACCAGCCCACAGGGGAGTATTGTGTCCGTCCGTCGTACAGGGAGGGGCTGGGTGGGGAGGGGAGGGTGGGGAGGGGCTGGGTGTGGAGGGTGGGGCTGGGTGGGGAGGGAAGGGTGTTGAGGGGCTGGGTGGGGAGGGTGGGGAGGGGCTGGGTGGGGAGGGAAGGATGGGGAGGGGCTGGGTGGGAAGGGAAGGGTGGGGAGGGGCTGGGTGGGGAGGGTGGGGCTGGGTGGGGAGGGGCTGGTCACCCCGTGGTGCCCTTATAAAACTCAACGTTTAACCTACTCACGCCGGCTTGTGCCCGCCCTCACAGTCGGGCATATTTGCGGAATACACCACGCCGCCGTTGACCCTGGACATTGACCGAGCAACCCAACGTTCCTACAAGCTCCCTCCGCAGGAATGTGTTAATGCACTACGTTATCCTTAACGTTCTGGTTATTTACAAAATGACTGGGATAATTAAAGTGATAACATTTAACCTTTGTCAATCTACTGCTGGATGAAGGCCTCCCCACGACATTTTGGCCGGACGATTGTTTTGACCGTACTTCACCACGCTGGTCCGTAGTCGTGCAGGATACGGCTGCAGTGTGCTAACCGCTGCACCACCGTCCCATCCCCTTGATTATTACCGCGATGGCTCATCTGGCAGAGATGTCAGCAAATTGTGAAAGTGTGTATCACTTGATCTTCACCAACGTGGAAGCAAAGGTTACAATGTCTCCTGCGAGTGATAAAGAGACCTTGTTTTTGGGTCACAGCTGAGCTCAGTTTGAACTGATCGCCCTAGATCATTGTGCAATTCAAGGCAATTTGTTTTTTACTAATATTTCGCTTGTGCAGCTTGCACCCCGGTGTGACAAAACTAATGATGGCAGAACAGAACGTGAGATTTTCATCGATTCCTCCGGCAAACCGGAAAAATGTCTCTCAGAAATTACCAACCAGGTCTCCGTGAGGTACAGCACTAACCAAGTGGACTCGTAACGACTCCGTGTCATCATCACGACCTTCATTCGCGTGAACGGGCAATTGCGTATGAACGTCACAGCTCAAACCATTAATATTTTAACGCCGTCTGCTAAATACACTGTAAATATACACACCGTACGGTATATATTTTAAGCTATCCCGGTGACTAATACTGTCCGGGTTTCTCTTGTCGAGGATATACATTTGAGGTGGTTACATCCTCCAAAATATGAATGAATTATTTGGCAAACTTCAGTACGGCTAACAACGCTTTGGCCATAGACATGTACTGTGCACACATTTGTCTTTTCAAGTTCAAGTTAATTTATTTGGTATAGCCCTGTGAGCCATTCGGCTCTTGAATCGGGTGCAACCGCAACAACAACAAAAAATAAACAAGAAAACATCTTAAAGTGAATATGTGACTAAGTGCAAACAGAAAATCCAAGAAAATACAGCAAAATATTGCAGAAAAAGCACCGTACACCAACGCTGTGTACAAAAATCCCAGTGGGATGCAAGTCAAACAACAACAACCACAAGACAACTTAGATTAAGGCCATCAGTCTTACTCCGTACTACAACAATCAAACATGGCCAAACCAAAAAACTTCTCGAAATCACCAAAATAAAGCCATAAAAGCAATGAAACAGTGATCATAGGAACTGTGACAGAAATGTTCACAATAAACGACATAAACAACGTACTACCAAAACCCTGCAGCCATTTCAATGCCAATCTCTTAACACCGGCGGCTAAAGCTATACCGGGCCTTCTGTTGTGGCTGCATGTGTGGCTCGCAAAAGTCTCTCGTTTTGCTATCACGGGATTTATCCTCTTCCCTCCCTCCCACCGGCACCTCCGACTAGCAACGGTTGGCTACGTACGGTGCATAAGAAGTTCAACATGCACGTACCATCCGTACAATTTTTGCGTAGAAAACGGGGTGACCGATTTAAGGGTTGTGTGTGTGACAGGATAAACAGCGCAGGGTTTGCTGGCCAAATGAACCGCTGCAAGTGAATGGGGCAAAAAGAGAGTGTGTGTGGTGTGGTGTGTGTGCGTGTGTGGTGTGTGTGTGGTGTGTGTGTGTAGTGTGCCCTGAAATGACCCTGTTGAGGCAGAAATCGCTGAACCATCACTCGAACATGTTTTGGCATTGGTCACCATGGTCACAATTATAGACGCTCTCCACCACCACCAGCAGCTGTGGCAAATTTAGACCCCTGTTGTTTACAGTGTACGTGTGTGTGTGTACGTGTGTGTGTGCGCATTAATAATGAACGAATAAAGGACCCATACTTCGATTCGAAATCGTGCGCCCGAGCCGAAGGGCTCACAGGGCTATACCTAATAAATTAACTTGAACGGAACGATGGGAAAACTAACAACTGCAAGAGTTCGCAACGTTCCACCACAGTTGATCTGCTACGAGCCTCTTCCCATCGCACCTCCGATTCAGCGCGGTTGGCTACGTACGGTGCGAAAGAAGTTCAACGTACATACGCCAACAACGCAGCCGTCCGGGAAGTCTGAAAACATGATGATGTGGTTGTAACAGACAACATCAGCAACATGTTTTGTTTAAATGTATGCATGTTGAAATTATTTCGCACCGTACGTAGCCAACCGTGCTAATCGGAGGTGCGGGGAAAAAAGCATTGTGTAGCACAATCAACCATTTACTTTTCTATTCAAAAATCACAAATGATTATACTCCACTGTATAGCATCACTATCACATTAGCACTCAAGCCACAATTACCTGAACACCCACGCCACTCCAGTAGCCCATTTGTTATTAAACTGCATCACTTTGCGACGACATAAAGTGTCAGAGAATGTCCCTTTTGTGTTTGATTTTTTTGTCTCAAAATGTTCTGGTGTCTCTCCGTCGCCAGAAATGTGGCAAATTGCCAAGTAAATACATTTCAGCGCCATCACCAACGTCTTAATGTGGCCTAAACCATTACGAGACCTCCTTTGCCAGTAGCAAGATAGAGTAATAGGTTTTTACCATTTTATCCGGCACCAAAACTCACATCTTTATACAGGTGATCATGTTTGCAATAACCACAACACAATCAGTCAAAATGCAACCAAAAAGACGCCTTTTGGCGTCATCTGGTCCAACACCAGTGGAGACTAGGCTCTAAGAAAAGCCATCTTGGGTGTGGACCAATCAATTTCAAGGACAGTGCATATCATTATCAGAGTTGTCTCTTTTTGTTTGCATTTTGACTTCTTGTGTTGTGGTTATTGCAAACATGATCCCTTGTATAAAGGTGTCAGTTTTGGTGCCAGATAAAAGGGTAAACACCTATTACTGTGGCCTAAACCGTAACGCATGTACACGTATGGCCTGAACGGTCAATTCACTGCTAGATTATGGTTCTCCCAATCCATGCGGATCATGAGGGTTACTTGACCATACTTCACCATGCTGGTCAGCGCGGGTTGGTGAAAGCGAGGAGAGTAGACGACGTTCAGAAGCTGACGTTTATTTTCTGAGTGAAGCCCGTTAAGCTGCACAGCTCTTCAGGGCAGTACAATACAGGGACTCCTCTATGTACGAACATTCAACTTACGAATTTTCAGAGATACAAAGAAACCCGTCTGTATGTCCAGTTGCCTGTTTGGACCGAGAGTCGTGAGTTCAAGCACAGCGCAATATTTGGCGGTGGTGGCATCTACATCTGCAGAACATGAAGAACCAGTGATATCTACATCTACAGGAGATTATACAACTTTTAAAATCCATTTCCCGTGTTTAATGTACATGCCGTACAACATGTTTGGAATGGACAGGAGTAAAAATGTACTTACGAAAAAATCGACTGATGAACAGACCTCTGGAAACCAACTCGTTCGTAAGTAGAGGAGACCCTGTATAATTTGTTGCACCCTGCTGACAATCCAGTCCTCGGAATTCCACCCTACATTCATAATAAGCTTGTTACTAATAACTTTGAGAATAATTAGATTTTTTTTAACCCAGAAGTCAGAGGTCGCAAACGGGTTTTGATTCCGTACCCATACCCGTACTCGGCCGCACCAGGGTAGCAAACGGGTACCCGTACCCGGCCGGGTAGGGTACGGGTACCCGATACCCGGCCGGGTACGGGTAGCCGGGTATAGGGTACGGGTATCGGGTACCCGATTGCGACCTCTGGGATGAAGCCATGTTGCAGGCGCGGGTGGGTTGATTTTAGGAACTCGAATTGTGAGAAGAGACAAGACGTTTGGAAATGAGTGACAAACGGCGACTCACCAGTGACTCACGGCCTACCCGTACCCGTACACGGCCGCACCAGGGTCGTAAATGGGTACCCGTACCCGGCTGGGTACGGGTATCCAGGTATCGGATAGGGTACGGGTATCGGGTACCCGGTTGCGACCTCTGCCAGGAGTGCTCCTTCTTGCTTATCCAGAATATTATACATGAGACTCCTGTTTGGAGATTTTAATCTCCCAAGGGAAATATTAAAATTCCACCAACCTGAGGTTTCCGGGTGCCTCAGATGTCAGAGCACTGAGTCGGCACAGCTGAGATCCTGGGTTCGAATCCAGGCAGCCAGGTTCTCAAGTGGAGTGAGTTGATGGTCTCAGCCTGGTAACCGATGATTGCACACAAAAAAGCAGCACACTATATTTGGCTCTGCACTTAATTTACCATGATTCCACCTCTGAATGATTACTATCGGTGGCACGGCGGGTGGGAAAGTGATGGCCCCTAATGTGGGGAGCAGAAGTCACTTTAAGGGATCTCAGAGGTAACTCTGTGATATCCACTTCCGTAAGCCGTTCTCTATCAACGAGGGTTGCAACTGCTTTAAGAGAGATCCAAATCAATACTTGACCTCAGGACTCAACACCGTTAGCACCTCCGGTTATCAGGGTTGGCTACGTACGGTGCAAAAGGAGTTCAACATACATGCAGGATGGACGAGATAAGTTTTGAGAAAAAGACAAAAAATAATTCGACCAACCTACTTGCTGTTCTGACTATAGAAGCACATCATTGTCCACCTGCTTAATGGCTCATAAAAGTAATTTCTCCATCTCCGTTTTAGCCAAAAGCCTCGACTTTAAATCGCTGTGTTACGAGCATGTGCCTCCAAATCATTTTTACGCTATACAAAGCCAATTGTAGAGCACACTGTGCAGATAATAACATACCGTGTCATGCAGAAGGTCTGCATGTACAGCAGCAGCATTTCGCCTCGGTTAGATTTCTGAGAAAAGGCAACCGAGAGGGCTTGTGTCTTGGTGACGGTGGTTAAATATTCAGTGGAGTTACATTGTTGAAACCCAGATAGGGAACGGTGCAAAGTCTTATAATAAAGGTGACGAATAGCAACAATGCAAATCCTGATTGAAGGTGTGCCATACCGAACACAATACACAGTGTACTGTACCTGTATTTTTTTTACTTCCAGAGAACATTGTTTTTTGTCCAAGTAAAACATGCACAATTGCTCCAGAGCGACAGGATACCGATTCCAGCTGTCTACTTGCAAAATATAATGTACAACGTACAGTATTGGTTTTATTCATGAAACTATGCAGATACTTGGCAAGTTATTAATCTAGCACATGTGGCCGAAACGTCAATATTTTACCGGTACATCAACATATATTACTTGAATGTACACCTGTAGAGTATGTTGCTTCATTCATCATCTTGTCACCAAATACACTAAGCATTCACAATTCCAATTTGCATAATTTCACTTCATACACGACACACAGTTTGCATATAATACCGTAGTTATATACAAAAAAAAGCAACGAATACGTAATACATTTTAAAGATGACCCCAATTCAACCTTGAACTGGTGGAAAAAGTGTGGTCAGCAAACACCACTTAAGGCTCCAAAGATACACAAGGGAGGAGATCAACAACGTCGCCCGTCTCTCTCCCAGTACCGATGCTTTATACACTACACCAGGCACTCATTTCAGTTTGAGTCAACCTAGAGGAGACCAACTTACCAAATGCCACTGGTGTTGTTGCACGACTAGAATTTCTTGACATCGGCTGCCAAAACGAGATTGCAGCCTACTTGCACGAACCAAACCACCACTCCACAGCTCGCATTGCTCCCGTGCACTTTATATTATGTGCCTATGTTTCTCTCTCTCTCTATGTATCTCTGTGATATCTGTCTGCTTATATGTCTGTCTATATGTCTCTGGTTCTGTGTTGTATCTCTCTCTCAAATTTAGCATTCTCAGGAAGAACGTAATCAACCAGGCAGGGTGTTGACTGTTATGTTATCCGACTCTCTGTTGTATTACATTACATTTCTCAGTATACTAGATTTGTGTTTCTATTTCATTTATACCTGATGATTGCTTATGTTGCAATCGAAACGTCGTATGCTAGTATTTAATTTATTATTTTATCTTTATACTTGACTTTACCGAAATAACCAAAGAGTAATTCCTGCAGTCACGAAAGCTCCAAATTAAGTTTGATTAAATATACACGTTTAGATGCCGAGCGTTCATTTTATATTCCAAAGTATCACTTCACCAGAGGCCGGCGGTGTATTGGAGCGAAGCAATGGGGAAGTCAACAAAATGAGAAGAATAGGAAACAAATGACAGATGTTTGATGTACACCGAAGCCTTAGGAATCCTTGTATATGGTGTGAGCCCACGTGTGTGACACACGCGGTGAGCTCGAGTTTGTGCGGGGCTTGAGAGGCTTTTCAATGAGCTCCGACAGCCGATTGCTTTAATTGGGGCTTCTCAGCCACCTTTGCATGCAGGGGGGTGGGGGTGGTGAGCCGACATTGATTGAATATTGCTTCCAAGCTGTCGGGTCACAATGTTCAGCAGAGAATAAAAAGTCCTTTCTTTCAAAAAGTATCCTGTAGACGAGACACTAAACGATTTTTTATTTTGCCAGGTAAGACCCACTGAGATAAATTGCTCTTTTTTTGTGCAGAAGCGACCTGGCCACAAGTGATAGCGCAACTAAGTGGCTTGTCATCGTGTGGAAATTTATAGCAGCCAAATTACTCTATACGCATGTTTCTAAATGTGGACAGAAAACCGGAGGTTCCGGAGAAAAATCCACATGACCAAGGAGAGACACATGCAAACTGCAAATATACAGGCATCAGGGTCTGGAATTGAACCCACGACCTCCTGTATGCTAGGCGAGTTCGTTAACATCTCGTCACCGTGGCGACACCCATGCACGTTGTATTGTTTGCATAGACAATTCAATACTGTACACCGATTATTTAATTCTGTTTCGTATGGAGTCCAAACCCTTGTTACGAAACAGAATTAGGCAGGCAGCATAGACCTTGGAGCAGAGTACATTACAACAGCGGATGTTGACAACGTTGACCCGACCGGCCTATGACAGCCTTGACATGCGTGGCAGTCTCCTGTCCAGCTGCGTGTCTTCTGAGATCAGTCGAGAGCGGTTTTCTACGACGATTTGGTTAACAGCATTCAGTAATACAGTACCACATTCAATATTAGCATGGGGCCATGGCGCACAATGGCGTACCCCTTGTAACTATATCACGGAGACTTTGTCATCCAGCGATTAGCAGCGGCTGCACTTTGTTAATTGCTCGTATTCACAACTGCGCAGCACGTGGAATTGGGGCCATAGGCTCCCAAGGAAATTGGACGATTCACCACTTGGCAAAGCAGTTGCCTTAATCCCTTAGTTCAGACAAATTCTGTCCGTGAGTTCCTATTTAAGGCCAACAGGGCACGTGACGGCATGAGGTGCTTTGAATCCAGCCAGTAAAACCACGGAACGAGTTGCATCTGCCCACCTTTAAACGAGGTCACGCTACACGGCCACACGGTGGCAACTACGCTTTATCGACAGTATTGCTCATAAACATGTACGGCATATACTTATACAATTTACTGCATTTTTAGATTTCACTTCCGTATGCAGGTATATGGAAAATATCATTAGACAGCGGTGGATGAATCCCCTTGCTATATGATCAACATCATCATAAAAACTAAAAAGCTATGTTTTATTTGACCAGGTAAAGCCCACTGAGCCATGTAGCTATTTTTCAGAAGCGACCTGGCCACAAATAATAGTTCAACTAAGTGGTCTATCACGTGGAAATGTATCGCAGCCAAACACTCTAAACACGCGTTGATTCTAAATGTGGAGGGGAAAACTGGAGAACCCGGAGAAAAATCAACGCGACCACAGGAAGAACATGAAAACTCCAAATACACAGGCATCGGAGTCGGGATCGAACCCACGACCTTCCTGCGTACCAGGCGAGGGAGTTAACATCTCGCCACCACGGCATCATAAGTCGAGTCGGACCGCTGTGTCCAGCCGGGCTATATGACCTCGGCACTGAAGGCCGGGGTGGAGTTCCGAGCTTGCGTGAATTTGTCGCACCCATTGCAGAGGAAGAGCTCTGAGGTTAGAAAAATATTATATTATAATCATCTTTACAGTCGCATTAACCTGCGGACGGGCTAAACGGTCTGTTGTTGACTCGCAGCAGCAGCAGCAGCCAAAGCCACGGTCTGGATGGCCTCAGCAATTGCTCTAAAGCCCCGCACAAAACACCCATCGTGTCTGGTGGTGCAGCGTAGGTCAAAGGACATCGCGTCGAGCATGCGCAGAATTAATCCGTTGCAGGCAGTAAATAACAGGCGCGCCTCCGGCAGCTGCCGCATTTAATTTACACGGCACACCTGACCGGAAAGTCTGGGCCTCGCTGCACGCACAAACTACAACGACGACAACAACAACAACAAAACAAGAGCGAGGCCATATCCACCGCACTCCCTCCGTGCGCGCGAGCTCCGACAATAAACAATGAGCGCAGGCTGGGATGGCCGGTGAAGCATTTAGCCGGAGAGTATTATTATTATTGTCATACGCTGGTGATGCGGGTTGTAATCAACAGCCTGTTATTCACTCCCCACGAGCCCTCCTGGACCATAGCGCAAACTGTGACATGCATAAAAGTGAACGTTAACCGGACTGCTTTGCTAAACGCCAGCTGTCAATGATCACCGACGCAATGAAATAAATTCGTAGAAACGTGGTCGGCGACGTGGCCCAGCGGTACCGCGTTCGCCGCTTATTGCAGAGGTTCACGGTTGGAATCCAACGGCCGCCCTGATTAATACTGCGGATGCATTAATAGTGGAAATTCTACGCTGCAGTCTGCTTCAGAGTGGATGATAAAGATCCCGTGATGTCCATTCGCAAGAGTGCTTACATTGTGTGCCGGCATCATGGTCCGCATTTTGATCAAAAACTTACCCACTAATGACCGGACTGGAATACACGTAGAAATCATCGCCCACCCCTCCAGCAAAAACTTGGTGGGACCCTCCGGAAAAACAGTCGTGGGACTCCTGGGTGAGGCTTTCCTGGGTAAAAATGTGTCGCAAGAAATCATAAATAATCAGCCATGTATGTACGTTGAACTTCTCTCGCAACAGTACTAATCAGAGGTGCGAGTTTGTGTATTAGCCATATGGGTCCCATTGTGTGTCTGTATGTGTTTTATTGTGCGAAGGCAGAAACCTATTGGTGCTGCTGCATGTAGTCACGCAACGTGAGAGTCCATCGTAATCATTGT